TTAAAATCATATTATAACTATAAATTTATAATTTTATATAATATTATAATTATAGAATAACCATTTTTTGCATATGCTCTCCTAATAATATTAGTTACCTAGCTAGATTCGAAATTTTAGTTTCTGTCTCTTTCAATTATGCAGTATATGTATATCAAAATAAGAGTACGCAAAGGCTGATATCATTCCCGTTTTTCTCACTCTATATAACCATATATCCAAATAATATTTACTGAGTTCAAAACTTCTAATCTAGAGTTAAAGGGTAGAACTTCATAATCAAATTTGAATAGATAGTGTTTGGCTTTCGTGGTAGTGAAGCAGTTTAATGCAAAGTTGCTTGGCTTTCACCTGTGAAGAACAGGCTATTCGACTTTAGCTAGCCAGGGAAAAATGATGTTCATGATCATAATACTACCTGCGGTGGTCATCATGGCAGCCTGGTGGTACCGTGGATTCAAGATATGGTATCCGAATATTAGCAGCGGCGACGTTGATTGCATGGTGTGTTTGAGCAAGATCTGCAGAGAAGAGAAAGTCCGGATACTGCCACTCTGTCACCATTGTTTTCATGGTGATTGCATCGAAGCTTGGCTCCAAGTGAGTCCAACATGCCCACTTTGCAGGAATGATGTTGTCCATAGTCACAGCATCGTTTCAACCTTCTTGCTTTCTCCGATAGATCGCATGGGAAAATGGCTGCAGAATTCCCTTACCCCCGACCTTACAACGGCAGTCTGCGAGGGTCTAGCTAGCATTTCTTGAAGACAGTATTCTCATCGCCTGTAAAAAGTACTGTAGAGTGGGAAAATCAGAAAAGGAAAAAATGTACAGTAGAGAAGAATCATGGTTCAGAACTCGGCCCAGCCTCATACGTTCGGTTAATTGGTTTTGACTTATGATCATGATGCCGGAGGTCCAGCCCAGCTGGCTTGAATGAATTTTGTTGGGGGCTCTCTCTCGATTTGTTAGGCTCCTTCTCTTGGTTTTTCTCCACCTCATGTTTTTTTTTTTTTTTGGGCGTGTGTATGAATATGGTAGTATGCCAAAGTAAAAGGGTCTGGAGCCTTGGAAGCAGACCTCTTCCTTCCAAGAACTTTCCGAAAAGGCAAAAGGAAATTGTATTTGTTATTTCTGTGGGTGTAAGAGGGAATGGATTGGACAAGCCAGCACCATAAGTGAACAAAAATCATTCCTTAATCCCTATTCATCATTTTGTCTTGAAACAGGTGTATTTAAAAAAAAAAAAACCTTCTTTGCATTTGTAAATCAAATTTAGGCCTTTATTCACCTTAATACTATAACAGGAAAAAAGAAATAATAATAAAGTTAGTATTGATACCTCAATTTTACTCTTTATCGGTCATCAGACTCATCGTACCTCTAAATTTTAAGAAATAAATTTTTTCCCTAACTTTTTCTTATGAGACCCATTTGACAATATTCTTCTAAAAAATGTGTAATATTAACTTTTCACGGAATTTTAAAAAAAAAGTTAATAAATATTCTTTCTAAATCAAAATAATTGTTATTTTTTATTTTTTTTAAAAATTAATAATTTGGAAATAATATTTATATTTAACTATTCTTAAAAAAAGATAAAAAGAGTTTTTTTATAATTAAATAATTAATAAAAATAAATAGATAATAATAGAGTTAAATGAAGAAAACATATTTATTTATTTTTAAAATAAAAATAATTAATTTAAAATAAATTTAAAATTAAAAATAATAATTATTTAAGAATAAAAGGAGTATGCATAAATTTTTTTTGAATAAATTATAATTATTTATATGTATTAATTAAAAGATTAAAAAAAAATTCAAAAGACTTAAACACACAGCTCACAAAAAATGAATTATTCTAATTCAAAAACCATATCACTTGTCAAAACATGCCGTCCAGAAAGTAAATGACCTTAATTTAGGATTGAATCAAAGCAAATCGTTCAAGGAGTATGCATCATTGAAATAATAAGTATAAAAATTTGACATTAAGATTTCAAATTTAAAGCATTACTTTAGCAAGTAGAATAGGCATAGGCCGACTGGGTGACATTATGGCGCAAGTAATTGAAGATATTCAAGGATTAGTTCTCTTGAGATTTGTGTTAAGCTTAACCAATGTAATAAATTTTTTTTAAAAATGGTAGGCCTGACCCCACACCCCGACCAGATTATATAAAAATTAATTAATTAATTAATGATCACCCATTGTCCTGCGCTTCAATTTCAATCCTTTCAAAATTTCTCCTTTGTTTCACCTGCCTTTATCAATGCCTGGAACCAACTTTTGATATGGTTGGCAAATGGCAAAGACAATGGTTATTTTTTTAATTACATAATAAAAAAAATATTGTATAGTTTATACTAGATTATATTATACAATATTAATTATTGACTGAAGATAAATTTATTTTTTTATTTAATGATTCCTATTTTATAATTTAAATTATAAAATAAAAAATTTTATAATAAAAAATAATTATCTTTTATTTTTTAACTTATCTCATTTGTATGCATAATTAAAATTTAAAACTTCATACTTCTTCTATTAAAAGAATTATATCTAAACTGATTAAAATTTTGGCTTTATCAAGACAAAACTCTATTAATTCAATGTTCAATGTGGTGAACTAAAAAACAAAAAAAGACAAGTGCTAATGCCACGAGACTCTCTTTAATACTTGAAGTACTCAATTACAAAAATCATAACATATATACAGACACACGTACAATTACATATAACTTGATTTATGCACATTTACAAATATTATATATACAAGTATATATAAGCTATATGCACGAGTTCTTTTTATCTTATATGTAACTGATTTTACATGTGTAGTCCAATTTCTGAGATGATTGTCTGTGGGGCTCGATGCTTTCTCCTAAAGCTTCTGGGCTCAGTGAGCCATTTTACTCTGACCACTAGGTTCTATATATTCTTCTTCTTCTTTTTTTCTTTTTTTTTTACCCGACATTCCTTCCAACTTGTTTCCTCCAACCAACCTTTCTTCTCCTCCCGTAAATCCCTTTAGCAGTTAATTGGATGGTTGGATTAATCATTTTAACATAGTTAATGATTAATAATTAATATTTAATAATTAATAATTATTCTTATTTATAATTTAAAATATGTTAAATATTTGATTAAGACGGATAATTGATAATTATTCTCCGTCTCCTTTAAACTAAACACTTCCTAAACCTATTTGCTATCTCCTTTTCCTTTTCCTCTCTTTTTTGCCCTTCTCCTTTAAAGTCCAAAATCCAAATCACGAATTCCCATTTTAGATTAGTCCCTAAGCTTGCTTTAGGTATATTATTTTATAAAATTTCTAGATTTAGATCTAAAGTGTTTTTGCCTTCGGTAGACAAGCCCACCTTATTTATTTTAATAAATCATATTGTTAAGAACTACTCCCAGCAGGACTTCATCTTTTATTGTACTGGAGTAAAGTTAATGACACATGGAATAGAGGCTAGCGGTTTAATATAATAGTTTAAAATTAATGATTAGTAAATTTGTCTGAATTACTATTTATATAGTAGTGTATATTATTGTTTGGTGAATTTTTTTTACCAACAGTTAAGTTTTTACTATTTAGTATTTAATAAAAATTTTTATTTAATATTTTGATAGTAGTTGTTAACTGTTAGAGTTCAATTTGCTAGTATATTAAAAAAACTCCTTTAAACAATTTTTTGTTCCAAACCAATAATAAATTAAAAATTTTAAATTATTATGACAAATTTATTCATAAAATAATTAGGTATAAAATTAATATAGACTTAGGCACAACTTATCCCCTTCCATTTTTACATTAACTTTTTTATGTTCAATTTTAATATTAACTTGTTCATTTCTCTCTCTCTCTCTTTATTTAATGTGTTGGTAACTAATTTTCTTATATAAAAAATTTCAAGTCATAACTATGAATTAATTAGTAGGAAAGTTTGTAATGTTTGTCTTATGGTATTTAAAAATAAGAAATTAATTTCCCTATGAAAAAAATAATAAAGAGATGTTTCATTGGCAAATAATA